GTAACGGCCCTGCAGTCAGCCCAGCAGTGGCCGGTATAGATTGGACCGTAGCCCCTCCCCAAGTAGGAGAGGGGCTACGGTCCACTACAGCGAGTGTCCGTATAGTTCCGCACTAGCGGAACGCGCAGAGCGGCACTTGTAACTCATAGGAGTAATTGCAGCCACAATAAATGAAATTAAATAGTCTCGACAGCGCGTCGTTAATTTCTCGAGAGCCGGCGAAAGTCGAGTGGGAGAAAACGGGGCGAGGGAGAGAACGCGTCTTTCTGAATCGTTTAATTAACGCCGATGGTTTTGGGGGCCGAGAGTGCCTATGGCGGCGGCGATTTCTGCTGGCTCACGCTCGACCCGAACTTCGGATGCAGGTTTTGGAGGGGAGCATTCGCTCTGGAGGCAGAAAAAGCGAGCACGTTAAAAGCGCAAAGCTATAAAAAAAAATAAAAAAACACCTTTATATTAGTTAGTTTGGGCGTCCTTGTCTACCCTTGAAACGGTCAGTTTACAACTAATATTAATACATGGGAAATAGGAGTTGGACTCGAGTTCCTAGATAATTGCACAGTATACCTGGACCAATTAGAGATGTTCGTGCTCCTGAAGTTTGAGGTAATTTCAAAGACGGCAGCCGTCTTTGATTGGTTGCCGATAATTAAAAAAAAAAGAAACCCTTGACGGTGATTTGTGTGGTTAAGCATAAGCTATAATGTAAAAAAAAAAAAAAACAACGTAGCCCGAGAGAAAAACAAATGAAGTGCAGAAATCATAAAGTACAATATATTTTTCACAACTACGTAATTTACCGTCATGTTTACTTTGTCCGTGAAACAGGACACTGCACAGCACTGCTGGGATAAAGAGCTAATTGTGCCAATCCCCTCCTGTGCCCTTTTACCGGTCTCAAGTTTCTCATCATTATGTATTCGGCGTTCTGAATTGTCTGTAATGTCCTCTTTATGTGTAGGACTCCGAAATTTGGTGTGACATCACGTAAACTTCTTTAAGTTGTATCAGTTAAGTACACGGGTGAGAGACCACTATAATCTGTAACTATCGTGATTATTTTTTTTTTTAAATAATAAATTAGAAATGTGGGTTAGGTGTCAAACCAAGTAGCAGATGGAACACGGGAAGACGTTTAGCAGAATTAATAAAATATAGAATGGTATTTTGCCGATGACTGCGTAATTTACGGATCTGTATCTAACCTGAACAATAACGTAACCCTACAAGCTGACCTTAGCCTAATAGCCGACTGGTGTAACCAGAGGAAAATGACAATCAACTTTTTTAAAACAAATCTCGTTTTCTTCACGCGGGCTCATAGTCGTCTCTCTTTTACTTACACCATGTGCAGCCATCTTACAAATATCTTGGCGTTCACATATCTGACGATCTCTCATGGAACACGCACATAACACACGTGCTGTCTAATGCTAACCGCTCTCTTGGCTATCTTCGACGGAATCTAAAACTAGCACCATCATCAGTGAAACAACTAGCCTACACTACACTCGTAGGATCCCAACTTGAATACGCGTCATCCATCTGGTTCCCTTCGCAACATTCATTGATAACAAACATAGAGGCACTTCAAAATCATTCAATCAGATTAATTGTTTTCAGACTACTCACGAAACACCAGCATCACTTCTTTACAAATGAAAGCTAACCTTGATCTGCTCTCATCTAGAAGAAAATTATCAGGCCTGTCCCTTTTTCACAAGATTTACTATCATAACTATGACTAAAGAACTTCACTATTATTCCGAGCCACTCGCATATTTCCTCGCATTGATAACATCTGTAAAGTTCCTCCAATTTTCGCCTCGTCACTTTCTTTTCTTAACACCACCTTGCCATCAACAATAACAGACTGGAATAACCTGCCTAACAGCATCGCTACCCCGAGACAGATCATAACACATTCATATCCCAACTGGCCATCCATCTGCAGTTGCACTAATAGCAAAGTCATTCCGCGTTCATAGAAATGTTTTATTTGTGTATTCTTCTGTTTAATCAGCTGTTTTTCCTTAAAGATGCTTTCAGTGTTTATTTTTTTCCTGTTTTTGTTGCTTTATATAACAATGTTCTCCAGCATGTAATTCACTTTTTGTTTGTTCCTTTATATAATTTTTTTTTCAGCGAGTACCCGCCGCCTTGCGTAATGCCTGTAAGGCCCTTCAAGGTTTAATAAATGATGATGATGATCGTAAAAATATTTCTCCTTGTCCTTGTTCGCGTAGAAATTGTCAAGAAACAATTTCTACGCTATATACGTCTAAAACATTTTTTTTTTTTTTTACGAGGGCATGGACAACTGTTTTTAGTTTTGAACTGTGTGTACTCGTACAAGCCCCATGAATATGTAGAGCGCAAGTTCATCTGCTTCTTTTGCGGGGATTGTGTTGACGTTAGAAGGACGCCCAGCTCTTTTTGACTCTCATTGAAGGATAGAGGGTAGACCTCAAAGCAACCTGTCTTGAGGTCTACCCACTATCCTTCAATCAGGCAATCGGAGCTCGGCGTTCTGAATTCAACACAACCCCTGCAAAAGAAGCAGACAACGTTACTAAAACACTCAGTTGGGAAACTCACCCTTAAAACCTAGGCCGGTGGCGTCCACCGAGACCGAGCTATATACGATAACAGCGCCACCGTTTAGGTACAAGTTGAAACATGAGAGCTGCTTTATATGGCTACTGCCAGAGTTACTGATTGATTCCCAGAGTACCGAAACTTCCAGGCTCGAGGTGCCAAGAGTGTGGCTCAATATAGATTTTTGAAAACATCACGCTCCTGTCTTTTTTCACTAATCTCAAATAAAAGTTCCTACAAAAATAGCTTTTTCCGTTTGTTTTTACGCAAAAATATGCTTTCTAAAAACTAATGACGACCACAATAAAATATATATATATATTTTATCGTGGTCGTCATTAGTTTTTAGAAAGCATATTTTTGCGTAAAAACAAACGGAAAAAGCTATTTTTGTAGGAACTTTTATTTGAGATTAGTGAAAAAAGACAGGAGCGTGATGTTTTCAAAAATCTTTAGTTTCCAAAGTTTTGCGGCACAATTAATATTATTTTTATACAACCATGCCTCACCGGTGGTTTCAGGTAGCGCGTCCCGATGTAGGTGCGTCCTAATTTCGGAACTGACTCGCGGTGCGTCCACTTGGGACGGGAGACGGGGCTGGCTTTCCCGAAACCCCTTCCACCGTGTATGTTTCGGCGCCTAAATGGCCGGTTAAAGCCAAAATAGCACAGTCACAGCGGACGCTATCGAATGCGATACTCCCGAACCAATACAAGCAGCCGTACAGTTCCCCAGATGACCGCTGCGGGAGAAATGGCGGCGTTGCGATCGCCATTAGCTTAACACTCGAGTACGTATCGGATCCACTTTTTCAGGGCAGGCTCTATGGCAGTTTTCTAAGTTGTTCTAATAACGTTGGAACATACGAACTTGCGCTCCGTGTAATCCCGTTCGGTTTCTGACCTTCACAGTCCTACACGCGCTCCACGCGAGCCTGCGTCACACTCCGTTTCACTCCAAGTCTGGCCGCGACCGACGCTACGACGCGATGGAGTTAACCAAGCAGCGCCAAAAGGGAATCGTCACGGCGTTCGTCATCTTTCTGCGTTTTCACATCATCGGCTGAACCAATCACGCACAGGGGGAAAAAAAGGAGGCAGGATCATGGACGATTCGCTGTGCGTGATTGGTTTAGTCGATGGTATGAAACGCGCAAAAGCGACGAGCGCCGTGATGATGCACGTTTATACGAATCGTTATAAATCGTTGTGTCGACCGCTGTCAAAGTTAAACAAATAACCGAGTTCATAGCATCGTGGTAGAGTACCGTCCTTACGGACATAGGTTTCGCGAGAGAGCTACAGCTCTCAGACACTGACCGGTACAATATCCTGCTTTCTGCGTCAGTTGCGAGTATAGAGCAAGAAAATCGATATACCGTGTAACCTCCACTTTCTTAAAAAGTGAAACTATCTTAAAGGGAAGCACCGCAAAATCCTGAGATTAACAGCGGATGCTTTCCTAAGAGACAGCTATTTAATAACATCTGGGAAAGAACTCGGAGCTACCATTTCCTGGGATGCAAGCAGCCTGGTCCTCCGGAAGCTGCTCTATCATCGTAAATTGCGCTTAAAACTTTCTTTTTTCAAGAGGACCATAAGCGATTGTAAGTGAAACGTAAATTTGTACTTTTCCTTTAGACACAGGAGCTCTCATATTACATTTCTGGTGTTTTGCGTTCAAAAAGGTGAAGGCAGACAGACAGTACTCTTGGCGTTCCAGGAACCTAATGAATATGGATGTCTTGAGATCAAAGGCTCTGGTGGGAAGGCACCAGTGCGTTGCAGTCTGCTATTCATAATTAAATTGTTTTGGACTGATCTACGTCATGTACACGCGCAGTATGGTGATTACTGTTTGATCCTTACAATTCGCTCAATGCTCGAAGATTCAAACGCCTCACTAACTCCAATACATATCGTCAATAATAAAAAAAAGCTATTTAACTTTTGAGGCGAAACAGAAGTTAATTCTACAACATCTCCGTTCGGCGACTGTCTATTGAATACCCCGTCAAACGAGCAACTCCCTTATGTATTGAGAGCTCCACGCCCTACCTTCGTTTTGTTTTGGGAAGTGCATTCATGTTCCACTTCCCAAAACTAAAACCGTTAGGACTCCACTAACTGAACAACAAAAAATGAGCACTGCTCTCAGATGTTCCATCTGCTCCTTCTTATCAACACCTCTGCGCTCGAATCACCCACCGTTGACGAATAATGGTGTCCCTGAAAACCCGAAACGAGTAAAGATTGCTCATGTCGTCGAAAGCAGTACCTTTTTTTTTTAATTCGGCGAGCTGCATTAATTTCTGGACCACGTTGTTTGGCGGTAAACATAAACATCAAGCTCAGATTGTTTACGTACATAGAACATTCTCAGTTTCCTTTCTCTTCCTGCAGGACCGCCGGACATGGTCCAGAACTGTTCTATGACGAACCAGACGGAAGACACCGTGGCCGTGACCTGCGTCGAAGGTTACGACGGCGGCCTGCCACAGAGCTTTCGCCTGGAGCTGCACGACACGGCGCACCGGTTGCTTCGCAACAACGTCACGTCGGACTCTGGGGCGACGTTCGTGGCCCGCGGTCTGCCGCCAGGCACCAGCTTCGTGGCCGCGGTGTACGCCTTCAACTCGAGGGGGCGCTCCCAGCCCAAGGTGATCATCGTGAGCACACTACCGGCGCCGGTCAGCCTCACGAGGAGAGGTGAGACGCATTCAGATATTACTTCGGTGAATGCGCAAGTCACGTTGCTCGTACTTCATACTACGCTGATGGCGTCGTACGAGGAAGGTACGCGCCCCAGACGGCATCTGCACACTACCTTTTGCTTCATGTACTACTACTATACTTCGTCTCAACTTACGTCTGGACCCAGCCGAAGCTGCGAGCTGATCGAACAAATTGAAAAGTGACGAAACATCAAGTCACTGGGTTTTATCTGTACATGATTCGTTCAGCGATTATAGAACACACGCAAAAACATGACGAACGCCATGATGGTGTGTTATTTGCGTTACATGATTGGCCGCACCAGGTCGGAATGCGACAGCTGATTTACGGTGCACACATGCGGTGCGTGCACCGTAATGTTGCGTTCCTGTTCGGTGCAAGAGAATACAGGTCAGTTTGATCTCGGAAGTTTAGCCCATACTGCTTTTCATCTTAAGTTTGAGCGGGACCAAAAGCTATTTGCAACACAAGCACAAACACACTCTCTAAAACACAATGTTACGATGCTTTCTTCGCGCTTGATTAGAAGAGTTGATAGTAAAAAAAACTCATATGAACATTAAAAATGCCGTGATCAATCGCTTTCCGAGAAGTTTGATTGGCCCCATTGGTTCATAGCGTTGGCAACGCTCGCACCCAAGATGAAAGGGAGCATAGTTGACACGCATTGCGGAGCCATTGTAGTCTATGCCGATCAGTCTATAACTTAATGAGCGTGCTCTTACTCTTGAATTTGAAGCAAAAGTTTCTGTCTGGGTTTTGGAGGCGTCCGCTAGTTTTCGTGTGTAGTATTTGTCGAAAAATGATCGTCCAATGTTAAAAAAAGAACTTATCTGATTTGTATGTGTAGGAAAAAACGCATATACCGATCTGTACATTATTAAATTCCCGTCGAGGCTTTTCCAGGGGATGTTACAAAGCGTATACCCAAATAGAATGCCCGGCGAACGCCTAATTTGCTAGAAGCTTGGCGATTCCAGGGGCCTAACTTAGGCCTAATACGGTTTTGCTCCAAAACGTTAGTTGGCACTAAAGTACGTTAGTTTGGTGCTTCGATGGCTTTTTTCTGGTTTACCACGCAATTGCTAAAGTGACAGACTTGAGCCAAAAAGGCCAAATATGAACCAAAGAACCAGCAGTAAAGCCTGCGCATGTTTGGGAATCTAGAACCACAATTGCCAGATGAAAACCGAGTAGCCAAAAGTGAAACCTAACTCTTGCGCTACTTGGTTGGGAATGTTTGGCCTCAAGGTGCCAGATGACAGTTAACCAAGCCGCAGTAATGCCTAACTTTGACATTTTGTTTTGCGAATTAGGTTCAAGATACCCACACTCTGGCAAAAGAAGGTCAAGTTCGGCATGCTTTGGCCTCTTCGGTCTTTTTAAGAACCTAGATTGCCAGACAAAGAAATCTTTTGGCCCAAACATTGTGACACCCGGGTAAAGCGTCCTGATAATAAGGATCATCTCAGAGTCTTATATTAAAGGGTGCGTTTTTTTCTACGCAAAAGGAGGATTCATATTGAATGAGATAATAGACTGCGATGCACTCCTGAGGATTTCAGCATAAAAAATGTCTTAGATCAGTCTGTGTACAGAGGGAGTTACGCGACCGCAATCCAATCTGGCTTGACAAAATTAGCACTGGGACACGCTATACACTCTTAAGCAAGTTTAAACAACAGGATGGTCCAGGCTGGCACCGCATTGCATTATTTACTCTGTGTAAGAGTTCGACCAATCACAGTGCTTCGGATGCCCATAGTGTATCTCGGCGGCTTTCACGCTGCCTCTGTCGCGTCTGTAACAGAAGGAAACAAATAGCGTTACGTCTATTGATAATAAAGAGTAGACGTTTTTACTTATGATTAAACGACGGTTCCTTCGATTTTTTTTTTTTTTTTTTTTTTGTTTCTAGAACGATGACGTAAAGCAAATATTGCCTGTGTTTTTGCAGCCAAGCAATGGCGAACATAAAAAGTTTCATGTTCTCTTTCGGGGTGGACACGTAAGTTAGCTGTAATAAAAAAAAATATGTTGCATAAGCGCCCATACTCTTTTTCAGCGTGCAATAATTATGTATAGCAATTATTCAGACTACCAAGAGTTTCTGAGTTTCATCTGCCACCAAAAGCTTTTTGTGTTTTTTTTTTCTAATTCTTCCTTTTATTTCAGCTAAACATTTAGATAAAGCTTATAAAAAAACAAAAAAAACGTCGACGTTAATTGTGTGCTATACCTTTTGTCTTTTAAAAGAGTCTACACCTGTAGCTCCTTAGAATCTTTGTGGCTCGACTCAATGAACGACCGAATTAAAATAATGTGCCACATCTTCTTCAAAGCAAATTCTAAATCGCAACAAATAAAAAGAAACCTATTTAATGCGTCCTTTGCTCGTCCATTGGCCCCAAATTAGATGCGTGACGCTCGTCTCGCAGTTTCGCAGCAGGAGCGGTGACGCTTTGGACCCTCGCCTTCGTGGAGACGGCGCGCTCATCATCTTTATTCATTAAAGCCGTCGGGGGGTCTTTCTTACTTGTGCCCTAATAGATGGGCCCTCCCCGGGGCACACACTCCTTCGGTACTCTGCTCGGGACGCCTCGCGCAACCCGTCGCGAGGAGTTTTATTCTATTTTTTTGTTGTTGTCTAATCTTTCGAAAGGGGCACTTTGAGTGAAGAGGAGGCTTCTGTGAGTTGAAACGCAGTAGCACGTCCTTGGTACGAAGCCTTGCTGCACTTTATATTCTCTGCCGGATCAGCCACGGGTTGTGGTTACAGAAAGTAGTTCGCAGTAGAGAAAGGCTGACTGAAATGAGCGTTAGTCTTGTTAGAATTGTCTAAATTGACTAAAATAAGGAGACAGCTACTTCAAGAACTATGAATAAATTCCTGTTCAAGAGCGGCACATGGCCGTCTAACTCAAACAGTGCGCAGAAAAAAAAAAAGACAAAACTTTTTGGGCAGCTGGCGAAATTTATTATGGTAAAGATGGTTTTGAGGCATGTTGTTTCTGTTGTTTTCTATTAAAATCACCTTGAAAGTACATTCGTTAGTCATGTATTTAGCAAAAATTAATCCTTGTTGGAAATGGGTTGTAAATATTAGTAATGTTAATGACCGACCATCTTCCAATTACCAACCTGATTTAGTTATTCAGGCATATTCTGATCGTGAAATTTAAACGTATATATACTAAGCACGGTATCGCAGCAATTACACTGGCTACCACTCTGATGCTTGATACCTATTTCACACGCCGTATACATTACTGAATTTGTGCCTTCCCTGCAGCTTTTGTTTTCACATATCTCGTGTTCGTTTGTTGTTACACTGGCGTAAGTGTAAGTGTTCCACAACAGTTTACTTTTTTGTAATATCTTTCAAAAATCATGCACGAGAAATAAGACTGGCTGCTTACAAATTAACTTGACGTTCCGCATGCTACCGGCTTTCGCGCTGAGGGCTCAGTCGAGCAACGCCGAATTGGCGCGTCGTCTACCCTTTGAGACGATCAGCTGATTGTACTCAGCGACGCTCAGTGTGAAAATCACGCGTAGACTTCTTCGGGAGTTTTTATAGATATCAAGAACATCAAAATCAATTAATGTGCGCATCTTTGTTTCTATATACAAAGCGTGACTAAAGCTTCACACGACGTGCATAACAGCGCTTAATTACGACCCGCAAAAAATGCCAAATTAAAATCAGTCTTTTTGTATGGCGCCGTTAGGGTGATTATGATGAGCAAAGACTAGATTATATTAAAATGGCGAAATGGGTGAGTTGGTTCATGACTTATAAAATTTAAAAGCATTAACAAGACGAGGACAAAAAGGAAGGCGAACAGGACGGGCGCTTATTATATCAGGCGAATATAGATTATATCAGGCAAATATGTTTTAGAAAATCTGCAAACTTTACGCGGCAACGTTCGCTCTTTGAGATTTCGTTATAGCAATAACTTTTGCGCCACTCTTAAAGTGAACGTGCCGCTGGGGCAAGTTCTGTCGTTCACCGCGTATTCGCTCCATAGAGTCTAGCCCAACGTAACTGTGCTCAGTAATTTATAGACCACCTCCTCCAACTTCGTCCCTCCCCTCTAACACACTCCAAACCGAAAACCCAGAATTCCCCCCCCCCCTCCCCCCCATTTTACAATCGTCGATGAACCCCTGCCTGCGCTACTTTTCATGCAAGCGACCAAGGCATATACGGTTGACCAAATTTTAAAGGTGAAAACCACGGAGTTATACTTGAAAGATGGAACGGCAGCCATCCGAGCGTGTTTTCTCTGCCCCTGTAAGCAAGCGGTGCTTGGTGATGGAAGTCCACTCCAGAATCAGACGGGGCGCGCTCGGAGCGCCGATGCCCGTTTTTCCAAACGTGTCGTGTGTTTTCAACGACCACTTTACACGCCACTGTGTCCCACACGAGACAGCGAGATCATTAACGTGGGCGAAAGCGGATCGCGTGACGATCTCGCTTTTCTATATCCCGTGACGCCCGGCACGTTGTGGGTAAAAATACCCTGCTGGAAATCCCCGCCGTCCGGTTTTCGTTCGGCTTTGCTGTTTCCTCTTTTTTTTTTTTTTTTCTCTAGGGGAGAAAGACAGAGAGGAGGGGTGTATTCTTGTTGTCCTGCTTTTGGGCGCCTTATGTGCCCCTTTAATTAACATGGCTAAGGTTGAAGCTTGGGTTAGTTAGTGTGACATCTTTAAAACGTTAAAAGAGCGCAAACGACGAGCGACGAGAAGCGAAAGGACACATACACAGCGCTGTGTATGCGTCCTTCCGATTCTCGTCCCTCGTCGTTTGTGCTGTTTTAACCCTTTTATTACATTAATTAATTTATTACATAACGTATCGCGAACCCATTAATCTGACTATTAATTTCAAAGAACAGTAAAATATTTCCACGTCCTCGTTTGAAATGGGCTTCCTTTTTGTTTCCGGACAGAAGCGTTTTCTGCAT